TATTGACCCTTTGGGCATTTTTTTTTCAAGACGTTGCCCCCCCCCCCCTTTCTTCCCCCCCCCCCCCACACACACGTGCACCATGCACCAAAAAACTGCATGCAGATGCTGATTCCATTGTTACCCGCTCTCTGGAGTAGCGTGGCCTTTTGCACTTAGCAGTATAATCAGATGCACTCTGTCTACCCTAGTTTCCCTGCAGTTCCAGTTGGATATGGAATTTAACTTGGACTACAGCGTTGCTGTGCATTGTTAACCAGCAGCTGCTGCAGCCATCTTGCAGTGGTAGGTGAAGTGCTGTCTTCCTTTCCCTAGCAGCAGCCTCACTTTTAAAACACGTTTGTTCCTTGACAGCTGCAAAAAACAAAACAAAACACCATGGTAGGAGAAGGTTGAGAAACGAGTTTGCACAGACGTAGGCTCGGTAGCTTTCTTCTGCCCTGTGGCAGGCAGTGTGGAACATAGTCCAACATGGAACTGTTCATGTTATTCCAAGTGGCTGCCAAGCTGCATAGGTTTGGTAATAGGGTTGCTGACAGTCTATCACAGTGATTCTCAACCAGAATGCCTTGAGGTCCTTTCAGGGGTGCCACACAACATTAACACTGGTGCCAAATTGATTCACAAGATTAAACCCAGAGATTTCAAATAGAAATCTAGTGTTAGAATCCTTCTGACCTGTTTGGTCTTTCTGAGTTCTTGGCCCCGGAAGAACTCTGTTTGCGCTCAAAAATCGAGCGATCTCCAGGAGCTGGTGTTTTCCGAGGGAGACCTCAAGAATAAAAAGACTGAAGAGCCACAGGTCTAAAGGTGTGTTAATTAGCTCTTTTTATTATGGAGTGTGGCGGCCTCTAGTGGTCTTTGCTCAAACACACAAATGAGCAGTTTGGTAAGTAAATATCTTAGCCACGCAACATTTTTCACTTGCCTAAAATGTAAAAGGCCACCTCTGTGGTACACTAGTATGTTCTAGCATAGTTCCACTGTCCAGGCTTTCAGAAAAGATCTACTTTCGTATCTTACTGCAGAAGAGTTGCTGAGCTCACTATCATTAGGAGGTATTGCTAAGGAATAGGTGTCTAAGCGGCCCCAGACAGCTCCATCTTCCTTCATGGTTAATGGAAACTTCTTATTTGTAACCTTCTTCAGATTTTTACCAGTTACTTCCTTGCCCCTGGTGAAGGTCGCTGAATGCACAGCTTGCTTTTGGTTACGATCGATTCTGAAGGGGGTGAATATTGCTCTTCTGGCCTGGCTGTGAAGCCCATTTGACCTTCATATGCTACTTCCATGCTGTGTAGTAACGGGCTTCTTCCTCTCCTCCCTGCAGAATTCCATTCGGCACAACCTCTCTTTGAACCGTTACTTTATTAAAGTCCCACGCTCCCAGGAGGAGCCTGGAAAAGGCTCTTTTTGGCGAATCGACCCAGCCTCTGAAGCCAAGCTGGTGGAACAGGCATTCCGGAAACGAAGGCAAAGGGGCGTGTCCTGCTTTCGGACACCTTTTGGACCCCTCTCCTCCAGGTGAGTTCTGCCCCCTCTTCTGTTTCTTGTGCCAAACCCTTTGAAGAATTGTTGTCCAATGTGGTGGCAATAAATTTGTCCTCCTCTATTGGATTTAGAATGGTAACACGGCTACATATGCCTGGAGAATGCTTGGAGTTTATTTTTTAGTGGGTATAAGATCACCGTTAATACATCTGTCTTTGCTGTAATCGCAAAGAGTTGCAGAACCGGTATCAAAGGAAGAAGTGGTATACTACAGTAACTTGGTTTTGGAAAAGTTGGGTTCACATATGTGAGAGGTCATATGAGAAATTGCTGTCTGATTGTATGAACCAGACTCTTGAGGGGACATTACTTTATTTGTCATGATTATGAGCAGTGGGGATTCAGACATGAGATGAGAGGAAATGAAATTGCTCCAGCCAGTGGGGCATGTGTAGAAGAGAAGCTAAACACTAACTAATGTACCTAATGCAGTATATCCTTCTTAGCTGTTATATGTCCAAAAGTTATCTCAAAATGGGAGACCAGGGAAAAACAATATCTCCAGTGGCTTCCACATCGTGAAGTGTGAGAGAGAAGAATGTATTTATTGATTGTCAAAGGAAATGGGAAGCCCACAGATAGTATGCTTGTTTGACAGAAGCTTTTTCTATTAAAATGAATATAAATCAAGCCAGGCTTCTTCACAGCCCAGTGATACCTGATCAGTTTATCCCATGAGACCTGACAACTAAACATCACGCCCAGTTCAGTTTTAGATTCTAGAAATGACTGTGCAGGACCTAGGATTTGGAAATCCATAAACTCATCTGTCTTCAAATATCTGTGTTGGTCTGCTAAATTGCTGCACTGGCTCGAGAGTCTAGGAATGACTTCAGTATACTTGTGCCTGTCTGGGTTTGGGAGCATTGTTTATAGAGGTGATTTCTTGAAGACGCAGTTTTTCTTGTGTGTCTAAACTTTTGAATGCCTCCATGCAGAACAGTGTTCTCATTCAAGGCTGGCTACTTTCTTGGTCAGAAGGGAAATGAAGTGCTTGTAGCTGTTACCTTGAGTTTTTGAACAGCAATTCACTTAAGTGGCACTTGTACTCCTGAGAATTTCCTAATTCCTGGTACTGTCAACTTGAAGATGACCTTTTCCTGAGCTCTTTGTATCTGTTCTAGGTGCGAATAAAACCTGAGGTTCCCGTAACTGAACAGTTAGCAAACATTTTTAATATTTTTTTCAGAGTACATTGTGGTGGTGTGTCTGTGTAGTCAGCTTCCCCTGTAAAAGCAGAAGAGAAATGGCAGAGAGGGCTGGGGGGCCTGGGCTTCTGCCCCATTCAGCCCTTTTTACACATCACCAGAGGATCAGGAAAATTCTTGAGTGTGTTTTTAAATGTCAGGCTCTGCCAATCAAAGGGTCTTTGTTAGAATAACATATTTAAAAAGGTTGACTTGTGCCTTTCAAGGTCAGATTTCATCCTGCTACAGGTCATGGCTGCAGAAAAGTGCTGGCATGCATGTGTCAGGCCTGTGGGCTTGTGAAGGGAGTGGGGGCGGGTGTACACACAGGGGAAGAATGGTTTCATGGTGCTGTCAGAGCAGAAGCTCCAGCTGTTGGAGATGCCTTTGGCTCTCTGTGAATGGGTTCCTGGTAAGTGCAGATGATGCCTGACTATTCATACTGTGTCCTGCATTCTAGGAGTGCCCCTGCCTCCCCAACTCATCCTGGCCTGCTGTCCCCTCACTCTAGTGGCCTACAGACTCCAGAGTGCCTGTCCCGGGAGGGCTCACCCATTGCACATGACCATGACTTTGGGTCAAAGTTAGCCTCTGTTCCAGAGTATCGGTATTCACAAAGCGCGCCTGGTAAGTAGCCTCTGTATTGCAGGAAAGTGCATTCATCTTGGCAGGTGGCCATGGTATTGAATGCTTTGCAAGTATGTTGGTGGCCAGAGGAATGGCAACCTGTCAGGGAAGCATCTGATTGCAAATTCATCCCTTGCCCCTTAGGTCTGGAGACTGAGGAAGATTAGATAGCTTTAGAGCCTGCCTCTTACTAGCCTCAGCTTCCAGGGCCTGTGCCAAAATAGGGAAAAGGAGCTCTGTGCTGCTGTGGCAGACTGCTACCAGTATTCAGTCTAGCTTACTGCTATTCTGGGCAAATGTAAACAATACTGCAGTCTTTACTGTTCCCTCTCCTCTTTGGCCATTTAGGCCAGTTGCCCTCTTGAGGCTTCTGTGTGTACCTGTAGTCCTCTCTGACTAGCTCCTTAATAAAAGCGTTTGTTGGAGATGGAGCTCGGTGTTTTTTTTCTGCCCTGGTGGGGGAGAGTTTTGCAGGGTGGTGATCTTAGAGCTCAGCACTCCCTGCGAGTGTGCTGGCTTCTCACAGCTTTGCATTCTGAGCATAAACATTGCATACGGTGGCCCTCAGCCTCACTGCCTAGGAACTAGGAAATGTAAGGGTGAAGGGGGCCAGCATGGCCTTTAAACCATGATTCTTCTCCCTTATGCTTAGGTGCTGAGCGTTATGTATCAGCAGTGCCTCAGGCTGCCTTCCATCTGACTCTAACAGGCATCTCTCTTCCATTTCAGGCTCACCTGTCAGTGCTCAGCCAGTGATCATGGCTGTTCCTCCCCGGCCATCCACTCTAGTGGCAAAGCCGGTAGCCTACATGCCAGCCTCAATAGTGACTTCGCAGCAGCCCTCTGGTCATGCAATTCATGTAGTTCAGCAAGCGCCCACTGTTACGATGGTCAGGGTGGTGGCCTCCTCTGCCAACTCCGCTAACGGATACATACTGACAAACCAGGGCACGGCAGGCGGCACTCACGAAGCAGCCGGTGCAGTGTTGGACTTAGCTGGTGATCATCGAGGTACCTGATTTCTCCTCTCTGCTCTGTGCAAAGGAAGTTTCCAGCACCCTGCATGAAACGTGGGAGGGAGTGGGGTTCACAGCTGCTGCATTTATTGGGTGTTTTATCTTTAAAATATCAGTCACTAGATACCACTTAAACGGGGTCAGAGCTCCCATACTAGATCTGCAGGGGATCCAAGATCTGCGGGGCCTTCACAGAGTAAGAGTCTGCCTGGAGTTTTCCAGGAGACAACTTTATATATACAGCAGCGAAATATTTATTGGGGTCCTGGTGTCCCCCTGCGTTGCCTTTGTGGGCTGAAGCCCCATTGAGTACATTGGACAAAATGGAAGGGGGGTGTTCTGCTAGCCAGAACCCCGGCACCCCAAACTAGGACCTTGGTCTGAAAGGCAGCACAGAGAAGCTGTTTAAATACTTGGGACTCTGTGGGTGTCTGAAATATATTGCAAAGAAGGAAGGGTGCAAGCTTGTGGGAATGAGTCTTGTTGATGTGCACGCAGTGTCTCTGTTTAGAGGAATTGTCAGACAATTCCTCTAAGACAAAGTGAATATATTAAGGATCACTTTGTCTTTCTAAACGGGTGGCTCTGGTCTCAATGAGCACTGTGAGTTAAGCTTGGAATATAGGAAAGGTGTCCTGGGCCATTGAATTCAGCCCCCTGTGTTCACAGATCATTATTTCCCTAAGACATCCTAGAAGTCAGCATTGCAGACCTCCGTGCACAATACCCGGAATACTTTCCGTAGCTGAAGGTCTGGCCGATAAGGGCACTGCCTGTTCCCTGTCGCTGCAATGACAGGGAAGGATTTGGTTAATAATTTAGTATCGTAGAGGGATCATTTTCCTTCGGCTGTGCCTCAGGCAACACATGCTGTTCTGCAGCCCTCAATGATAACTACATGCTGTTGCTGTACAGGTGTGTGCAGTACAGGTATATTCTATACGGGTGATTCACTCCTGGCATAGGAGCAGCAGGAGTGAATTCTACCCTCTCAAGTCGCAGGTGGGATGAAACAAAGACTCTCTTCCCTACAGTAATACTAAACCCTAAGCATTTCCTTTGGTGTTGGATTTCCTATTTTGCTCCATGCCAGACTCTCCTGCTTGCCCTTTGTGTGATCTAGGGGAAGCAAATCTGTGCCAGCTTGCCATGTTCTGTAGTTCTTTGGTATGATGGTGTGTATTGCTATGTCTCAGGGGATTTGTGTGGAGGCAGGGAACACTCCTCGTTTAGGTTACATTGGTTGTAATCCATGCAAAAGCTGTTGGGTACCTGTAACTAAAAGAATCAGGGGGAAAATAGCTTTTTGCCCCTTACAGGTCTTCAAAGGGAAAGTCTATCCTTAGCACTGGGGAAACGGTTTTATGGGGAAGCAGGGGCATGTGATATGTGCAATTAGAAAACTTGCGGAATCATCATTAAAGATGGCTGCAGAGTTTGAAAGGCTTCAGAATAATAATTTGTTCCCCAGAGTAAGTACCTGTCACTTTCCTTACGTCCCCAGTTGCAGTGTTCTTTCCCTAGTGCATGGGATGAGAGAACCACTGCCTTCAGAGACCTGATCCTACTGTGTGAATTGACTCTCAGACAACACACCTTCTAGGGCCTGACCCTGCTTAAAGAGTTTTGGGCTCTAATCTCACAGGATCAAACCCCAAGTGCCACCTATGTCATCTACCCCTTGGAGCCAGTGGGCACATCCAGACGAATGTGGACATTTGGTTCCCTGGGGACAAGTAGTGGTGCTGCAGCTTGCACCACAGCTACTTGTTCCTGGGAATGCCTGTGCCACATGCACTTTGATGCACAGCAAGTTATCCTGAGTGGGATAGGGGAGGCTGGGACCAGCACTGGACTGGCCACTGCAGCCTTACCTGGGGGCTGCCCAGGGCTGCAGCCGCTGTGATTCTGTTGTGCAGAGCCTGGCCGGCAGCCAGAGCATGGCTTCAGGTGGCCCAGCTCTGTACAGCCTTGCTACTGTATGTGCTACTGTTTGAGACCTCTGCTTGAGAAGTGATACTTTCCATTCCCTCTAAGTATAGATTTGGGGAATTCTGGCTGTATGTAGTTGGGTATCTCTGCTTTTCTGACCCCAGGGTAGGTACTGCTGCTGACAGTTACAAAAATGAAGTCTGCTCACAACCCTGCCAGGAAGTGAGTAATAATCTTTTCTCTTTCAATGTCCGAGCAGGCCTGGATGAGAAGCCGACGATTGCATTTGCCACGATACCCACTGCCAGTCGAGTCATTCAGACTGTTGCCAGTCAAATGGCTCAGGGTGTCCCAGGACAAACAGTCACCATCCTTCAGCAGGCAACTCCAGTAACTCTTGGACAGCACCAATTACCTGTGCGGGCAGTGACACAAAATGGGAAGCATGCTGTTGCCACCAACAGCATCACTGGCAGCGCTTACGGTATGGCTTGCATAAGCACACTCTGTGCCTCCTTATCAGATGTAGTTTAATGTGCACTACTTCTGCAGTTAAAGTGCTTAGCTTTGCAGGGGTTACCCCAGCTGACTGAAATTCTTACACCAAGATGTAAATTCCACAGACTTCTGCACCAAAAGCACCACTGATCATCTTCTCCCTTGGTTGTTTGTTCCTTCTTTTATCATGCGTTTCTCAGTGCTCTGATTTCCGCGCCCCCACCATGAAGCAGCTCTGCCGTGTGCAGCAACATTACCCCTGAAAAGTCCATGCATGGCCCAAGTATGCATCTGTTCCTGTATGCCCTCTTTCCCTTCCCTGGAGGGTTTTCATCTTTGGCAGATAACTGTCTTGAGCCTAATTTCTTCTGCCTGTTTTCTCTACCAGCCAGCCCTTGCCCTCGGTATCACATACTAAATCTTCCCTGATACTCTTAGTACACCATTAAATCCTGAATCCTATTCTCAGAATATCCTTCTTTCTTTTACTGTCTGCTTTGCATCCAGTCTCCCCCACTGAGTCTTGGACAAAGAATCTAAGATAATGGTTCCTCCCCTCTTCCCATCCTAAGATGAAAGATTCATGGACCCTGGGAAGAAGAAAGCATATTTCATCATTTCTGTCATTGCAGGATTGTTCCCCTTGGGAACTTGTCTAGCAGTTTGTCCAGTTTAGTTTTAAAAGTCCCAAGCTTATTTTCCCCTTGGGAGATTCTCCGTGTTGTTCCTCAGAATGGTAGGCATCCTCCTATAAAGGGTGAGGACTGCTAATGGCAGAACCCTTGTTCTTTGTGAGATGCTTCCTCTTCCTAAGAGATTATAAAATTGCAGCTTCTCTTCTATGCTGCCCATGGGCAGTCAGCATTGTAATGTCTTAGTTGCATGGAAGTTTCCTTAAAAAAAAAGATGAAATAGATGCTGCTTTGCCATAGCATTATGCAGATGTTAAAGTAGGACCTTGTGATTGCTAATTTTTCTTCATTTATATTTGGGCACTCTAACATCACTAAAATGTGTCTTGCTTTTTGTAATCAGATGTGAGTGTTGGAATCCTTCTGATGGCTCCCAGCCTTCAGTTAAGTGGTGATAAACTGTCTGTGCTGAGGCGGGGGAGCACAGAGAAGGCTACCTGAAGCTGGTTACAGTACCCAAGTTGAAAAATCTGGGTTTTTTTCTTCCTCTTGTGTTCCCTGGGTTTTTACTGTTTTGTTCTGATTTCTAGCCCCTTTTATGGAACCAAGATGGTTCTTCTGATTCATGATCAGTGACTTCCCCATCTACTTGTCCTTGTGGACAGATGGCCTCCTTTTCAGTTGTGGGGATTTGAAGAACTTTGTTCCTCTTCCCATCCTGAAGCTCTGATTTGTGTGCCTTAATAGTGGACATACCTCTGACATCAGCTCTTGCTTATACCTCCTCTTAGTGTGAATTCCATTCTCTCCGAGTCCCCTTTGGCTACTTTCTCTATCATGATAAAGTCCAAGAACTCCATGTACCTGGATTTTTAAATTGGTTTTACTTTCTGAAGCTAACCTATAAGCATATTCTTGCTGTGCCTTATACCCTAGAGAGATTGTATGCAGAATGTACAAGAATAAGTTCTTTTAAATGAAAGTACGTTACTCTACTTCTCTTTTGTTTGTTACTGGGAGACGGTTGTCAGTACAGCATGTAAGCCAGGAAATCCTAGGCTCTCAGCTCTGGGAACCCTGTCATGGCTGAGGGCAAATTACTTAACCTCCCTGCCTCAGTTAGTTGCTTGTACAAGGCAGATGACACTTGCCCCATCAGAGTTTTTGGTGTAATGTTTCTCCTTGCACAAGTTTTCCACACCATACAAGCTGCCAATACAGCTGGCTTTCTCATTGGCAGTCTTGGTAGGGGCTTAGCTTTGGAGCCCAAACTGCCATTTCACCCAGTGAAGTGATCTCTGTAGGTCAGGGTGAAGGCACTGTAGCATGGCAGCCTGTCAGAACCTTGGACTATGGCTTTGCCACGGATCCAGAATACTTCACCGTCACGGTCTAGTGGCTGTAACACAGGAGTGCAAGTTTCCTGGCTGGAGACCCTTCCTTAGCACATGGGTTCAGATGTGTGTATTAATGGCTTTAAAGCAGAAGATCCTACAGTGGAGATACTGGAGAAGGGCAGAATGTCAGTGTTTGCTGAAGTTGGGCACAACTTAAACTTAGAAACTTTTTTGTAAATTGCTGGTGAATTTACACATCTGCCAGATCACCTCCCTCTCCAGCAGGCTTCAGGTTTATTGTAGAGCAGCAAATATTTTAGTGCCTTTGCCAAATTAATCCTGTTCTCTCCCTTTCCCCAGCTCTCGCAAGCCCGCTGCAGCTCCTTGCAGCCCAGGCCAGCTCATCCACTCCTGTAGTAGTCAGCCGGGTGTGCGAGGCAGGGACTGAAGACTTAGGAGCATCATCGGGAGAGCCTGATGTCAAAAGACCCCGGATAGAAGAGGCCAGCGGAGTAGTCTCCACTCAACCTGGCGTCATCACGTCTACAGCCCCACAAGGACAGGCAACCAACGAATGAGGAACCGGTGGGCAGAGCTGGAATGTCATGAGGGTGGGTGGCATAAGCCTCGAAAGCAGCTTTCGAAGAAGAAAACAATCTGCAACCGCAATAGCCTGAATAAAGAGCTCGTTTTAAGATTAGGTTTTAAACTGCAGGTCAGCCATCTTTTAGACCCTCGAGGTGCCAAAAAAGAACGAGAAAACCCTTCCCAACTACCTGTACCTGGAACTTGGTTCTGCCTTTAATTATGGGATTTTTTTCCTCTTTTTAGATTAAAAAAAAAAAAAAAAAAGACAACTGATTGTATGACTGCTGGGATATTTTTAAAGTATCTTGCCCCTTTTTTTGCTCCAGGGGAATGGGAGTTGCAGTTCAGCGTCTGAAGGAATGCATCATAGACATATCTGCTCCCTGGGGAAGAAGGCTTCTCATTTCTGATGCCTTAATACTCTGCTTCTCAGAGCTTTGAAACCGAGGACCATTTCCAGTAGCCCCCCAGGGTGATCAGTGCTGAAAAATGGGTGCAGCTTCTCATAACAGCATTAAAGTGGTACCAAACTGAAAAAAAACCAAAAAAAAAAAACCCCAGAATGATTTTTAAGTTGAAACATCATTAATATGAATGTTTATTTATGTGAGGATTTGGGATGGGAGCTCCAGGGCTCAACCAGCTGGATCTTCAAAATGCAGATTTTCTTCATTCCCTTTGAGGGAAAGAAAGAAGTTGGAGGAGCTGTATTCATTTGATTCCTGTATAGAAAGAAAAAACAAGGGGTTTCTCACAGTTATTCGTCATCTTCTCTGGACTCCTGGACAAAATGTCACAGTGACTGCAGACCACATGAGGAAGGGTACCTCTGAATGGTTCTGTGTATGTTTGATTTTTCTAGTTCCTATTGTTCCATTTGGGAGCAATGTGGTTTGTTCATAATGAGATTCACCACCTTCCCTGTTAATCTAAGGGAGAACTATATTGGCCTTCTGCACTGAAGTTACCTCTCTCTCATCTCTTGGCAGTATGATCCTCTGTCCTGAAAACCAAGTGCCCAGAGGCCACCAGCCTGGGGTTGTGTTGAAGCTCGGAGTTGACATTGATATAGCTGGAAAAGGGTTACACTCGGAGTCCCATAATCTGCTGCTGACACAGTGAGGTTAAATTCTAGGGGTGAGGGGCAATAGGGCTTCTAGACAGTATTGAATATGAATCACATAAACTAATGGCAACCAAGAGATTGGAAGCCCGACTTCTGTGTGGTGGGAGGGAAAATTAGCTATGTTGGAGATTTCTTTTGGCCCAGACCCCAGAGATGCAGTAAGAGGCAAAGGACCAGCTGTCCCACCATCTTCGCTAGGGCTGGCCAGGAGTAAGGGAGACTTTTTTTTCTTTTAAGAATGTCTTAATTAAGAGTTGGATCTATCAGACTCTTTTCTGAGTGTACCTTTAAAAATGAGTGCAGTCCCACCATCTCCACTGGTTTCTGAGGCACTCAAAGCATTTGTGGAGGAAGGATGCGGTGCATGACATGTTGTGTTTGGGAGGGGAAATAGAATCAATGTTTGCGTGCGTTTGATTCCAGCCCCCTTTGCTAGCATGTTTTCTGGCTAACCACCAAAGACTCTTTAACTTAACAATTCTGCTGATAGCTATGGTAGTGGTGAAGGAGGGCAAGCAGCAGGGGGGCATGTCTTCTTTTGAGGGGTCTAGTTCTGCTAGCATTGATGTGGTGCAACATTATCACCTTGCTGTAAAATCCAAACTGGCAGTGCTGTTATGGAGCAGAGAGCTGCAAGCTCAGAGGGGAACTTTTCCATGGGAAGAGATTTCCTTAAGATACTGAAGACAATGCCACTCATATCCATAGTACTTGTGGTCACAGGTATTAGGGAGCAAAGCTGAACTGTTAAGTGTCTGCTAAAATCCTGAGTAGGAGGCCAATGCAGGAGCAATATGAACAGCCAACAGGCAGCACTTGTTCTCTTCTAGGCTTCCTTTCTATTTGCCAAGCCTTGTTCTCTGTCCGAGATTCACTGCCTGGAAGAAGGAGGAGCAAGTTTGTTGTTCTCTCACAAAAGGACCTTCCTGAAAAGAGGATACATTTCCTGAGCCTGCGCTGTTTAGAGAAAGTATTCAGGACAGTTGGGCATCTTCACTTTGGCCGTCCTAACTTGGGTGCATGTCTGTGGCAGTGAGTGGTCACTCTGGATGTTAGTCCGCTGAATTGTTTTTACAAGGTGGGGAGGGAGAGACTCTTACAATTTGCAAAAGTATCACAGCAAGCAAGTCTGCAACTTCCATTTTGCTTTTTAGGATGCTGGCTGGGTTTGTAACAACAAGAATCTAATGTTACTGTTTGCTCAAAGGCAGAAATCTGAGAGACGACTGCATTGTCATGGGCTCAGAAACAGGGCATGGTGATCAGTGCTGTGCAGTGTAGTTGTGACGTTACAACCTGTGAGTAACTCCACTGTTGCTGGGGCTTGGACCTTCAGCGCACCTCTGCGGTTAGGAGTCTTCTTCTAATTAAGACCTGATAGGATTTGTAATGGGTCAGGTGAACCATGGTGCATTCAGGGTCTGAGAAGGTGATGGTCCTTGGTTGCTTATTTTCCTTTGAAGTGATCTGTAAACAGACAGGATGGAGCCCTGAGCTGCCATAAATTAGCACAGCACTGTTGCAGTTTGTGGAGTCATGCGTGTTTACACCAACAGAGGAGCTGGCACAGAGTATTTCCATGAGTCACCGTAAACACTATCAACCATCATCTGCAAGTTCAGGGTATAGATTTGTCCCTTCAGCCTTTAGGGCAGCGTAACACTTTCCCAGTCTGTTTGTGGCTCAGGACACACCTGGTGGCCAACCTGCTAGTAAACAAGCAGTTAAATATTCTCATTTGTTCTGCTCTTAGATGCCTGGGACCTCTTGGTTTATGCAGTCAGTGTGCTCCACTTTGTTCCTCACCACTCTGGCATGCTCCCCTTCTGCTGCAGGAAGGATTCGTGCCATTTGCAGACGAGTCCTTCCTTTGCCAGGCCTTTAGTTGTGGCTTGGCTGCAGTGGGGCCTGCACAAGTTAAAATAACAGTTCATATCCAGCAGCCCATCGAGAGCTGTGGAAAAATTGTCCCCCCTTCCTTTTTTTGGAGGAGCTGATGACAGGGTGTTTGTTTACCTCTCGTTTCAGGCGTCCAAGCTAATTCTTTATCACGTTGCCTATCTCACAATGCTGCCCACTTCTGTTATTAATGGTAATTTTTCTGCAGAGTTTTGGCTTTAAAAGGAAACGTAGAAATGAGAGAAGGAATCGGCCTAGTACATTATCTTAGTCCATCCCTGCCAAGGCAGCATCTCAAAATCAGACGTGAATTTTCATCCCCTTTAACAGTTTTGTCAGCATGTTAAAATTAAATAAAGCATAGGAAAACCAAAACAGGGAGGTGATGGAAATAATGACTACAGTACTCCCTTTCCCTGCCAATCCGCCAACAATAAAACTATGCACTGTTCCATGCCTATCTTCATAGCTTTACTTTCTAAATGAAATGTCTTGCTAATTAACCTTGTTCCTTAATCATAGCAATTCTGTCTCTTGCTCTCCCATTGTTAATAATTGTCTTACTCTGCTGATTGTATATAATCAATATAATGAAAATGGGTTGTGTTGCTGCTTCCTTTTAGGTGTGCAGAATTGGGGCTGGAAGTGTTGAGCGATAGTTACAGATTCCATCTATCATGAGTTCACAGGGGTTTGTTGAACCCCATGTTTTAGTTGGAAGTGACTTCATTTTGATGACCTTTTTCCCTGAGCTCTCCAGTCAACGTGGTACCCAACAGAGCGGGTTCTCCCTTTTTAAACAGCTCCCTATGCTTTGGCTCTTTATTGCTATCGTCCATGTCAGATCCAGGCATGGTCCTATACCACATCTCTGCTGCTTTTCAAGTCAGTGAGATTACAGTGATTTTTCTAGGAAGGCTGCAAAGTCCTTGGAATAAGAAGTGGCAATTTCCTGCTCCTCCATTGTGTCTGTGAAGGTGCTCCTTCATTCTGGTATTTTGAACATACCATCCTGTACTTGAATTATCCTTTGCAAAATATTCAATGTACTTTAGTGATTGACTTGAAACTAAAACTGTGTTCTCTGAGTCCTGCAGAATCATACAAAAGACTGTATCTACGTTTTAGAGTCCTCTCTTTGAAAATGGAAGCTGTCAGGTTTTTGTAAGGTTGAAACCTAATTTAAATGAGCTCTTCTGTTGAAACTTCGGAGAGAGGTCTGCCTACATTTCAGCCCCTCTTCTCATTTTGTCACCTTAGCTAGGTAAGCTCTACCACATACTTGTGCAGAAAGCCAGTATTACGTCACCAGGCTTTCTTTCTCTTGGGGGCATTACAGCTGTGTGATGAGGATGCATTGAGGACATTAGTTTTAACATTTATATACAACTTTGAGAACCTAATTTCCAGAAACTCCATTGTCTCTTTTTTCATCTAGTGATTGCATTAACATCCTTTTATTATATCTTGCAAAAACTCAATTAAATTTTGGCATCTACTGTGGTATCTGTGTAACAAAGGTTATACCAGGCAGCTTAAAAATATAAACATCTTACTTGCTTCAAGCAATTTGAAACAATTTAACACAGAAAGAACTTTAAAAATCAACTGTTTCCTCTTTGAATTTTTTTCAGCCTGAATGAAGAGATGGGTCAAATTGACTTGGATTAGAGGCAGTTAGAGTGACTTATTCAAGCCTCAGTGCAGTGCTTGGATTGCAGACACTGATTGTTCTTGATGTCATGTTGATGGATTTATTTGAAAATCATATCTGTCTCATTTTTTCCTAAAGCAAAAGTTTTGGCTAGAATTTGCTGTAATGCAAAGTCTCTTTTATTGCAAGTGCAGATTTGGCCTGATTTGCTGGTGCAACAGTACACTGCCACACATGAGGATAAAGTTCATGGCCCTCAGTCCTTTTTTTTTTTTTTATTTCTTGGGCCAGTAGGGACTGGTAGTGCTGCAGGTAGTGGTGGTGTGTTTGTTCCCTGGTGAAAGCAGAGATCTGCCCAAGTCGAGGCTGGGAGATAACTAAATGATGAAAACACAGTTGGGATTCTCAGAGCTCCAAAAAGGTCTTGAGCTGGGGCAGTGGTAACCAGCTGATATTATAGTTCTGCCATGTTTCAATTTTATGTTTGTCACTTAAGAGATTCTGCCACTGGCTGCAGCTTATTCTGTGAAGTGTTGTCCTGAGAGACATGCACTCAGAGCTGTGTTGAATATTATGGGAGCAGAGAAATAATTAAATGAGGCCAGATCTTTTCTTGTGCTCCTGCAACCCATGCTGCAAATGGCTCTCATTTTTTAATTGGAAAAGTCCTAGTAGTTGATCCAGGTGATTGCTGGATAATATGGGTCATCATTAGAGCATGTAAATGGCTGAGTTATTAACCTTTGCTAATAAACTGCATAGGAGTAGTAGCTTTAATTTGATTTTGCATGTTACTTAATCGTCTGTGTTCTCAGTGCATCAGCTTATTGCTTTAATAAGCACAAATGCACTGAAGCGGTTGCAACCCTTTTTTCCTTTGTTTTATTCTACCCATATATATGTATATTTTTTTAAGTTTAAAAATATTATGTTAGGACTTGAATCTAACTCAAGTCAGGGCTGTTGACCTTTACTTGCCCATGGTGTGACATGCCAAGTTGTCCCTGGAGTCCTGGGTGTAGTCATGCTGGAGTTGCAGCCTTTCTTTGGAGGCAATAAGAATTTTTTTTCCCCTAATGCAGCCCTTTTGCAATGCAGCCCCAATGATGCCTGTAATATGCTGTGGCATGCATCTGAATGTTTGAATACGAGGGAGCTCTCCCATTGTGAACTGTATGGAGCCTGCACGGCAGATGCAGTAAAAAGAATTTAAACTAGAAATAGCTTTACTTTTGCATATTTCCTTTGTGATCAGGAGCTCCTCCTTCAAACCCAGCGCTGTTTGAATGGTTACATCCTAGACTGGGAATCCCTGTTACTGATAAGCAGAGAGAAACTACACTGCATAGAGCTAAGTTTCAGCAAACTGAATGGTACCACTAAACACTGGCAGAATGCTTACAAGGACCACAATGGGGTGAAAGCAGTTGTGGAGACATTGGCAGCCTTTAGAAATTCTGAAGTTTTGTCTTGCTTTGTTAAACCTATTTTTACTTCCTTGTGCAACTTTACTTTAGACTCTTATTTAATTTGAGACCTTTTAGGTTTCTTCATCCTGCTGCTAATGGACTGGGCATTAAGAACCAGTCTTCAAAGGGGACAAGACAAGCTTCTTCCATTTGGCATTATAATACAGTATATTGAGCTTTCTGCCTTTGTGAACGTTAATTAACATGCAGGAACAAGCTCTCCGCTGGCAGCCACGTCCCCAGCCAGCTTTCATTCTGGCTCCCCTAACCACATTTTTTCCCCTTTGGTTTACAGTTGTTTATGTGATCATTGAACACCACCCGTTAATAGCCTGGTTGTGGTGAGACTGCCTATCATAATTCTTGTGTCTCAGCTGCAGTTGGACAAAAGACTTAATTTGCTGGTGTTAGTTCTGTTTCTGGGTAAAAAATTAGCTTGAAGCTGCTGTTTTATAGCATACACTACTTCTGCTTGGTGTAGTTTACAGTGGAACCAGCTGAGAAGTGTTGGGCTTCAGGAAATTGTTACACTACTAGATCCCCGACTGTGGGATATGCTGAGATAGGGAAGCAATGCTTTCTTGTATGTATAGGATGTTAAACCATTCACATGCCTTCACATTGACCAGAGTAGCTGTTACTTCATGGGGACAATGCCCCCTTTATATATGTCTCTGTTAGAGTGCAACTGGTTAGGCCTATAGCCATACTCTCTGCTCAACGTGCTCTGTGCACGGTAATATATACATATGTGCACATCTCATAGCACTGCTAGCAGTGGTAAAGATCCCCAGCCACGGGGTTTTTCCATTACAGATGCTGTCTTTCAGAGGGGTTGAAATGTGGCTATAAATGGTTTTCTTTGGGCTGAGCATGACATTTGGGAAATACCAGGTCTCTTTAGGAGCACCAGGATTCATTTACAACAATTGGATTAGTTTCCAAAATGATACAAGCAGACAAAAATGTAAAGGTTTCAGTTTGTCTGCATTGTCTGAGACTTTTCAGAACGTGGGGCTGGATCTCCCTCTGTCACAATAGCTCACTAATGACAGCCTAAGTGACTGCTCCCGTGAAACAAGCCAGCGGCACATGACAAAGGAGTATGACGGCTACAAAATAAACCCTTTTAAATATTTGTTTAAAATATCAGAGTACTGATATCTATGTAAACATGAAATTTATATTTATATTTATTACTGTGTGTGGGTGTATGTATATAAATGGTCCGTAATTATTCCCTTAAGAGTGTAAATGGTACGTTACACAATGGATGGGTAAGTTCTGGTGCGCAGCAGTAATTCCAGGAGAATAACATCCTTCGCTTTAATTCAGGATGTGGGCAGCCTGTAGAGGGTGGCTTGAGTCCATCCTTCTACACCTCATCCCTCTTAAAAGGGCAGGTGGGCCAATTTGGTACTAGTATTTCACTCTCTTGTAAGAGTCCTGCAGTTGAAATCGTCACATTAGGAAATTGCACAGCTACACCATTGTGAGATGTTCTGCCAGCAGGCAAGGCCCTGAAGTGGCACTCCTAACAGTATGGGAATGGGGAAGATTGAAAGCTTGTCCCTTAGCTGTGGTTTAGGAAACCCAGGCCCAGAGTTCCTTTAGAGATTCTCCTCCTGCATCACAAGGCCTTCTCCCCACAAGTAGGAAATCAGGCTGGTCAAGTTTGTCTGCAGCATATCTTCTTTTGGAGTCTGTGGTAGAGGTGATCTCTTTTATTAGACCAACTAGATAGTTGCAAAAAAAAAATGCCTTTATTTGCAACCGTTGGGGCTCATGTGCCCTTCCTCAGGCAAAGGAGAATATTGTCTCAGGAATGGTTTTCGAGCCAAATTTGCATAGTTGCAGAGCAGCCTCAACACAACAGGACAGGGCGGACTCCTGCCTTGCCCAGGAGAACTTTTCCATCACCAGTCCTCCTCTGAAATGGGAAACATCCTAACAAGAAAGAACCATAATTCAACATCTGGCTTGCCATCAGACACCTTTGAGGTGAACAGACTGTTCCAGCTTTTATCTAACCCTAATTTGCATAAAACAAACTTTTCCAGCCAGGAGAATTTACAGCACCCTCCAGCTCTCCTGTGCAATATAGTTTCATTTCCACCTGGGAGAAATGTTACAGTCCTTGCAGTAGTCTTTGCCTGAGGATGGGCACATGAGCCTGAAAGCTTGCAAATAAAGAGAAAATTTTTTACAACTATCTAGTTGGTTTAATAGAAGATATCGCCTCTACCACACTGACTGCTTTTACTTTTTGGACCAGCACAGTTACAACCTTTTATATCCGATATCTTCTTCTGGTAATGCATTGTTGGAAGGTTTAGAACAAGCAGTCCCAAAGACAGTGACTCAGGATATTAGGCTAGTCTGTCAGTGTGTAGGGAGATATGTGGTGTCGTCTTTGTCCATCTTCTCTCTGATTCCAGCCTCTGCAGCTGAGTCTGAGCAAAGCATGCAGCCATGAAAGGAACTGCATTTGGGAAGCTACAGTGCTGCTTTGGGACAAGTTGCTGCGGTGCTCTGAGAGGGCATAGCTTCTTCCTTTCTGTTCTTTTTTTTCCCTTCTGCCCTGGGGAGATCGCTTTGTGATATTCTGGTTCCCCACAAGCCAGAGGCATAGGAGCTCTTGACTACAATGTAAGTAGGATTCCTCGTCCTTTGCCATTCACTAATGGTAAACTAATCCTCATGGGCCAGATTTCATCCCTACTGCAGTTCTACTGAGGTCACATGCATAAAGCAGAAGAACGTATTTTGATCTACTTTAGTGTTTCCTAAGTTAGGGCTGGAGACGTGGAAAGAAGCTGCTTCAGAGATGTCTCTTTAGAGTAAGATTTCATTAAATTTCTTGGAGGGCCCAGACTAAAAGCTCTGACTTGGTTTCTGTTGGCTATCAGGATCTGTTGGCTGATTTTTAGGTGCTGTTTTTGATTTGAAGATGACCAAAAGGGGAGTAACCATGGCAGTATGTGCAATGGAAGAAGCCAGAGGTTTTCCTGTCCTATTCCAAGGGAGGCAAGCTACAGCAACAGCCAAACTTCAGCCTGTATATGTGGCAGCTCCTTCACAACCTCTGTTGACTTCCCTAGAGGTAACAGCAAATCACCTTGGAGCCAGCATTTTGGGTCTAATTTGAGATCGGGTTCCTAGAACAAGTTTTGCACCTCCTTGTACTTCATTTGACTCCACTGAAAACTTAGTTTAAAGCAGAGCTTTAATTAAAAGCTAGAGGCTTTGTTTGAAGAGAAATGTCTCTGGGTTCCTGAAAAAATAAATAGGATTTAAATAGAAAAAATATAATCCTCTTCTGTCTGTCTGCCTCACTGCTAAAAATCAGATGCAAAAGATCCTGATGTGGCATTGATTAATATGCTGCCCTTTTGAAGTGGACGGGCTGTTGAAGTAGATGGACTGGTCAAACAGTATTTATTTAGCTAACGCAGTATCGGCATGTCGTTTCATCCGTCTTATGGCAGTGTCATCACCAGCATGAAGAGCTTGAAGGCCATCAGGTAGCATAGTAAACGGACACGAATCAATAATGTGGGACATAGTGGAACTTGTGCACAAGGCATTTGTCATCACTGCGAAAGCCCCATTGGTATAGATTTGTGGCACAGTGACCCCGGCCAATTCAAAAACAGACAAAGTTATAAATTTGGGCATCCTTTTCTCACCTTCCCCCCTCCTCCCCATACCCCCAAAATTGCTTCCGAAGTTGCAGGGAACCAGGGTATTGTTAGTCGGAAGAGAATTTTTTAGAGGAAAAGAAACGCAGAAAAGCATACTTAGAAATGCACCGAAATGAAATAGTGATATAAAATGCAATAATCCTTTTGAGTTAGCAAATCACCTTGGGTTCCTGGCACAGTGCTCCTCCCTGTGACAAAGCTGGCACTTACCGTGCAGTCGACCAGAGTAGTGAGATGTGTAACCACCTGTGGTATCCAGAGGACCAGTACGATCTGTCGTAGGAAGGTAAAGCATTTCCATCACGTGCCATAAGCCAGGTTTTTTTTTTATGATTAACATCATAAAATGCCAAATAATCAGTAATAACACGGTAAAACGTCTTCTGATTTGGAAACGATGCAAGAAAGCTGTTAAATCTCTAACCTCGCCTATATGTGTGTTCAGCCTGGTGGGTTTTTAATGAGGAGGACAAGTTGTATAAGGGTCTCAGAAGGTTGAGATGAATGAACTGTAACCCATCCCTTATACACAGATATGTAGAGGATCCTTGTCCCTTCCCTTCTGCATGGGTTTGGCACTTAGCTTTATGGGGTGGGGGTGGGT